AACAAAAAGCCATACCTAGCATTAATTTTTATTGAGATTTATGAATGCTTAATATTTTTTCAGTATCGTTGTATAAAGCAATATCTTAATGTAGAAGGTATGGTACAATTTAGAATGTGTGGTAAAATTGCAATGCAATTTGAAAAGTTAAACTTTTTAAATTACAGTAGCCATGGCCAAGTTTGTGATTAAATTTAATTTTAAAAATAAATTTTATGCTTTAATTTTTGTTTAAAACAAAGGTGGAAGCATATACTTTTCTAAAATTCTTAGTTTGTGGAAACTAAATTTTTGTGACGGTGTAGTGTGAATGTCAAATAATTGTTAGGCATGTTGAACTGAATCCTTGTTTTTTCACTGGACATGGGTGGCATTTATATAAAGAAAAAAGTGTACTTGGTAATAACATTTTAAATAAAATATTTTTATAAAATTAGTTTGACAGTGATAGATACAAATTAGATTTTTAGTCCTAAAATGGATGAGTTTAAACAAAATAATTATATTTGAGAATGACTAGTTCCCATATTTTAAAAAAAGGAATTTACTGCCCTATTTTAATTGTAACATTTCCCTAATCATTGAAATTATTTTAGTCAGATTTCATAGAAAGGAGAGTTCAGTGCAATACGAATCTAAAGTATTTGTTATAATCTTAGAAGAAGGTAATGTTAACAAATTTGCTTTTTCATTTTCTCCTAAATACTTGTGTATTGTTTTTACCTTATGTTTTTATATCCATTGCATGGTTTTTTATCTGCTTCCCCGTTTTAGTACCATTGACATTTTTTTCTTCATTATAAAAGTTGAAATGGAGTGGATTATATAAGGGTTTGATTAGATCCTCTTTTAAGTATTCTGTCTCATTTTAAGGGTTTATGATTATAAATTAGTCAAAGGTTGGTGAAGTAAAAAATTATATCATTGGAAGTATTTTGCTCTGTTAAGATGCATGAAGGTTTAGGTATATAAAGCCCTGATTATATTCCTGATAAATTATCACTTTCCTTCTCTCCTTTGGGTGAAACAAAAGCATATACTATATCAGTAATGATATCAGAAAGTGGAGAGCATCAATGAGTGCAGTTTGGGGGTTTTATTGGGGAGTTTTATCCACTAGTATTCAAATCAGTAGTGCTAGTTTTTATCCTATTTGTTTAAATGTGAGCAAGCCTCTCATTCCCACTCTGTGTTTACCTCTTTAAAAATATTGGCAATACTTTTCTGAATTTAAGATCTGTTGTGAAAATTAGATAAATGTAACTTGAGTGAAAATGCCCTGAATTAATTTTGCTGTTATTTTGAAATATTAATGGTAGATTTTAGGAATGCAATAAAGGAGAAATCATATCACTTTTATATTTTAAATTATTTTCAAGATAACTTAATGAATGTGTTTATGTGACTATTTAATAGAGGTGGTTAAAATTAGTAAAAACCCAATTTTCTTTGTTCTTAAAGTGACTTGATATATACAACTTTGTTGGATATTTGTTCCTCAGACTCCCTCTAGTGTCTAGTATTGAAAGCATCATTATGTTAACAGGCTTTTAAAAAATAGTTCTTCTCAGTTGTACAGATTTTGAAATACATGGAGGTGCATATTTTTTCTTTAAGTTTTTATTTTTCTTTTACATTTAATTTGCTCTTTAATGGGGAAATAACAAGAATTGACTTACGTATAGATCTTTTATTATTTTAGTATTTCAGTACTCTCCTGCTACCATATTCACAGTGCCACTTTTCATGTTATAAATTATTAGGTTGAAAATTATTCTGACTTGTAATCATTTTCAGCCATTACTGATTTGGATACCTTGCTTTGATCACAAAAGGATGTAGGTCAAAATGACCAAATGGAAATTTATTTAAAGATACAGCATTTGGCTTTATATGGCAAACTTTGAATACTTAATATACTAAACAGAAACTAAAACAATAATAAATAAAATAGAATCTTCTCCAGGTTGGTAAATTATACCACTATTTAAATTATATAGCTCATTTCTCCATAAATCAGAGTATTGAGTATTACATTTTTCAGAGTAGTGTCTTGTGTTGAGGTCCCTTTAAATTTCTTGCTTATATAAGTATGTGAATTGAAACTAATGCTTTAATATATATTATTTGAAGACAAAGTGTATTCAAATATTGTTTACTTCTTGGTAATTATTTGAATCTAATTTTAAATTAGATTTAAATAAGTATTGAACTTGAGCTCAAATATTGTTACTGTGAATATTTATGAAAATAGTATATACTTGCATGGCTTATATCTAATGTCTAGAAGCTCAGGGATAATTAAGTGTAAATACATATTTACACACACATGCATTTGGATTTTGGCGACTGATAAGGTAAAGTGTCCTTATTCTATGTTTCCATTAGTAATGTATCCTTTCTGTTATTTGTACACTTCAAACCATATATATTCACATTTCAATGCTTATGTATTTCAGGGTGTTGATGATGCCTTCTATACATTAGTTCGAGAAATTCGAAAACATAAAGAAAAGATGAGCAAAGATGGTAAAAAGAAGAAAAAGAAGTCAAAGACAAAGTGTATAATTATGTAAATACAATTTGTACTTTTTTCTTAAGGCATACTTAAGTAAAAGTGGTAATTTTTGTACATTACACTAAATTATTAGCATTCGTTTTAGCATTACCTAATTTACTTTCTGCTCCATCCAAACTGTTAGCTTTTATCTTGAATGCTTATTTTAAAATGACAGTGGAAACCTTTTTTTCCTCTAAGTGCCAGTATTCCCTGAGTTTTGGTTTTTTAACTAGCAATGCCTGTGAAAAAGAAACTGAATACCTGAGATTTCTGTCTCGGGGTTTTTGGTGCATGCAGTTTATTACTTCCTATTTTTCTTACCAATTGTGAACTTTGGTGTGAAACAAATTAATGAAGTTTTGAATCATCCCAGTTCTGTGTTTTATCTACTCACATACATGGATTAATTACTAATCATAATTAAAGTTGAGATTTCAGTTGAAATTTCATGATTGGTTTTACCGAAACATTGAGGGAACACGAATTTCTGGGCTTCTTGTAGCTTCGTCTTATAGGAATCATGTCCTCTAGTTTCAGTCACCCTTAATGAATGTAAAGTTAACTATTACCAGAGGTTTTCTTCCTCTTTCCACTGCTATTTGTCATAGTCATGCTCCCCAAAATATTATATTTTTTCTATAAAAAGGGAAAAAATGGAAAAAAATACAAGGCAATGAAAAATATTAAAAGGCCATTTACTTTCCACATTCGATAAATTCCTATAATACTCTGCATAGCTTTTCCTGTTAAGGCAGACCCAGTATGTAATGAGGATTATAGCAACCATTTGGGGGCTATATTTACATGCTACTAAATGTTTGTAATAATTGAAAAAATTTTAACATAAAAATTCTCATAGGAATTAAATGTAGTCTTCTTGTGTCAGATTGCTTTTTCTTAGCATAACTTTAAATCTTTTCTTGAACTTCAGTCTTTGAAAATACTTTTAATTCTGGTAGTGATTTTAAAGGTTATTTGGGCCAATTAGTATAGTAGGTGTTAAAGTGACCAAGGTTGAAGGCCAGGCCCTGTGTGAACCTTTGAGCTTCACTGAGAGTTTCACAGTATGGAGTGCATTCCTATGGTCTTCCAGTGATTCCATGCATTGGTTGGTCAAAAATGGGGACTAGGAGGAAGTTTGGCTAGCTCAGCAAGATACATTCTGACTGTGTGGTGGTTCTGCTGACAGATCAGAACATCACTTTAAAAAAATAAATGAAACACTAGACTTTAAAAAATATATATTTTAAATGAGATTTGAGTGTGGAAGTGGGGCAAGATTTTAATTTTTTTTTTAAAACAATTAAAAAGCTTCAAAATCTCTAGTATTAGCTAGTTCTCTTAACACTGGCTAAAGTAACATTTCATGAACACTTTAAGTCTAGTCTATATTTAGGAATATCTAATGCTTAAAAATAGATAAATTAACAAAATGATTCAGTGTATTTAAAATGTTACTTTAAAATATTTGAAGTGTGATGGTATGTTGAGGTGAAAATATCACTGGATTAGGAAGAAGGTGACTTAGGTTCTAGTTATATGACTTTTACAACTACATTTTGGGGCAAATCACTATTCACGTTAAAAGAAGTCATCTCAAGCCTATATCTAGCATTCAATTATGTGATTTACATTCAGTTTATGTAAAAATATACCTGTTTGTCAATTTCAGCACACTGTAAACTTTTACTTATTACCATCTTCAGTGCCAGTCTAGGCAAAATTGTGCAAGAGGTGAAGTTTATGTTTGAATATCCTCTCTTCACTTTCAGGACTCCTCTTCCTTATTAGTGTCATCTTGCCTGCCTACCCTTACTGCCCAAGGACTTGATACTTTTTCTTTTTAATACTTCTCATTCCCCTAACCTCAAGATTCATTGCTGTTTTGGATACCTCTTTGAAGGCTTCCCATCAAGTCACATCAAAATGCCCTACATCTTATTTCCACAGGCTCAACATAATTTGACAGATACTATAATGGAATTTGACCTAATAGATAATTTTCAGTTGGTGGCTGTAGTAATTTAATCTGGATCCTTTGAACGTCATCTCTTTGCTGCCTGGTCATTAGTGACTACATAGGAATTTTCATACCTCCTATGAGTAGACAGAACCCTCTCTAGTAGGAAGAATTATTTAATAAAGGTAGTGCTGAAGAATTCCTTACGTAATCTGTAAGACTAGCCCTAAGAAGTGATACATTCCATTGTTTTAATAGCCACAATTTTAAAGTGAAAAATACTTTAATTCATAAGACTTTTTAGCACTGTTCATTATTCAACAAATATTTGAGTGCCTACTACACAAGGCACTGGGGATATTATGGTATAAAGGACATAATCCCTATCCTTAAATGCTTACATTCCAGAATGGTCTAGAATATCTTCATGAGGCATTTGGCATATGACCCAGAGATAACATAATGCATATTTTAGTTTTGTAAGGAAGGGATTTGGTCTCTAAGATTTCTTCTAATTCTGGAGTACTTTGCTTTGATTCCAATGAAACTTTTTAATCAAGTTAGTTTATATAAGTCACTTTACTTCATTCTTTTAAAGGAATAAACAATTATATATATATTTATTTGGCATAATTATGTAATTCTGTTGGGACAGTTATAGTACGCATTAAGTTGTATGTCAGATAATATTAAAATTCCTAAGTAATATTCTAGTTGGTCTTGTTGTATAAGTAATTAAAATAGACTTTTAAAATGAAATATTGAATTCAGAATAGTTTTATCTGGGTACGAATAAACAGATACCTGAACTAATTCAAAGAAAAGGAAACGTGTGTAAAAATTAGTAATACTTCTATGCCTCGCTTTGGCAACACATATATTAAAAAGATTTCTGAAATGCTATGCTAAACAGGTTTATGGAACATTAGGTAGGATGTTAAGACTTACAGTACCTCCTCTTGTTTCTACACAAGAGAAAGAAATGGCCATACTTCAAGAATTGCAGTGCAATTCTGAGTGAGGGGATTTTTAGAACAACTGAATTTTTGATATAGCTGGGCAGTTTTTTTCCAGGCAGTGGAATTATCCTTTATTATGTGAATTTTGAATGATTTGACAAAACCTTTGTTTTCGTAGAGATTTTAAAAAGGTAGAGATAATCCTAGAATTAACATAAATATTATCTAATACAGCCTTAAAGGTAAACATTCTTGAAGTTGAAAAAAAATTGCTAAATTACATAGTTTTAGACATTAACATGTTTGTGGAAGAAAATAGCAGAAGTATGTAGTATAATTTGAGTGAACATTCCCAGTTAGGAACTCTAGGTTCCATTTTAACTGAGTCACACTGCATAGGAATTTAGAACCTAATTTTTATAGGTTATCAAAACCTTTGCCACCATTGCACAATTTTGTCCTAATACGTATAGAAATGTTGAGGCATGTTAAGTTACAGTTTGCACAAGTTCATCTCATTTGTATTCGTGATTTTTTTTCCTTCTAGCTATTTTTTTAAAACAATATATACACATTCAGGTTTTTTATAGGCAATAAAAACTCATTTACATTTGTCAAAAAAGTAATAATTCCTTGATAATTATGTATTAATGAATTTTAAAAATCCATCAGTTACCATAAAATGAATTTAGATTTACTAACTTCTGTGTTAATACTGGGAAGCATGAAATCTGCATTGATAAACTGAACAGTGTATAACTGGTAGCTGTAAATTCCTTCAGAAATTGAAAATTATTTCTAAAGATATATTCACATCAGTTCTTTAAAAATAGTCATAACTAGATTACTACTTTAGTTTAATAGTTTTAAGTGCCTGTTTGGGATGATGCTAGGTAATTTGGATGAATTTAGGAAAAACAAAGTTATTACCTGAAAAAATGTCAATGACAGAGGGTCTCCCTCCCCCTACAGCTAAATGGGTTATTTAATGTTTAATCTAAAAGTTTCCAGTTCCACTGTCTTGTGTTTTCATGTTGAAAATAACTTTTGCATTTTTCCTTTGAGTGCCAATTTCTTACTAGTACTATTTCTTAATGTAACATGTTTACCTGGAATGTATTTTAACTATTTTTGTATAGTGTAAACAAACATGCACATTTTGTACATTGTGCTTTTTTTTGTGTGGGACATATGCAGTGTGATCTAGTTGTTTTCCATCATTTGGTTGCGCTGACCTAGGAATGTTGGTCATATCAAACATTAAATTTAAAAAATGACCACTCTTTTAATTAACTTTTAAATGTTTATAGGAGTATGTGCTGTGAAGTGATCTGAAATTTGTAATATTTTTGTCATGAACTGTACTGCTCCTAATTATTGTAATGTAATAAAAATAGTTATGGTGACTATGATAGTATGTATTTCTTGATAGAAATCTGAAACATTTGCCTCACAACTGATATGAAATAGTTTATAAGCCACAGACACTACAATATATTAGTAAATCTTTTTTGCAGCTTGTAAATTACAAATATTCTTTATTTATGAAAGGTGCTGTGAACATTACATAAAGGTTTAAGTTTTTGCTTAAACCTGAGACCTTCTTTGGTTTTAGGTCCGTTGCCATGTTAACTCATTTAGAAGTAGATGCAATATAGATCTGCCTTTATGACAAAAGAATATAATATTATTTATTGCTTTTTATCAAAGAAGGTAATTGATACACAACAGGCGATGTGTTTTAAGGCCCAAAGGGAGCCAGCAGCAAACTAAGGGAAATGCTGAATAGGTATGTATATAATGCCAGTCGTTGGTAGGGTATTTCAAGATCAGAAGTAATCTTACTCCATATATATTAACTATTTCTATAACTGCACTTAAATCATGACCAGGTGCTATTTCTTTTGTAGTGAACCTTGCTAATGTACCAAATGGGGTCAAAAATAAGATACTCCTTCAAAAGTTAAGGGAATAAATGTGCAAGAAATTACTTTGCCTAGTTAAATGTGAATTAAGTGGCATTGGTAAAATTGAGAAATGGGCTAAGAATAATTGGCAAAAACCTATTGTTAAAAAAATAAGTACATTATCTTTTCATTCAACATTGGGTACTCATTAATTTATAATTGGTAGTTGGCAACATTATGTAGCTAAGTTGCTATTTTATTATAAAAATTGAGCATAAACGGTTGCTGATAAAGCCCTCAGTATGAATAGAAGTTGAAACCTGTTTTAGTTCAGTAAAGCAACCTAGGTGTTTTTTAGTTGACATGTATTGTCATTTTAAGTTAGAATTATTTTTATGATATTTGTTATAAACAGCTGGCATTGATTTTCAGTCAAATTATAGTAATGATCACTTAGTTTCATTGGCATCTGAATAGTACCGTTGTTTCATAGCTCTGTATTTCCTAAGGAAATATAAGGCTTCTAGCTCTTTCATTACAAATTCACCCCGTGCAATAAGTTCCTTGATCTTCTCTGGATCCTTCACATCTTTGTTTTTAAGGAAAACATTCTTCAGACGCCTTTTAAAATAGTCTGCTCCTTTTGGATAGTCTCGTCCAAGGTACAGCAGCTTAAAAAAGAAAGATTATATATTTCTAAACAATCCATTACATATAATAACATTTATAAAACTGGCAACATACTTACATTTTTATAAAGATTCAATACTTCTCCTCTTAAAGAATTGGCCATTTTCATATATCATGGAAAATATTCACTTTTATACACAGCATACCTAAAGAAAAGGAAAAATTTTTTTTTTGCAAATAACTGTTACAGTCAAGAAAACAAAGATTTTTCACATTGAGAAAATGCTAATTTTTTTTCCATTCAATTAATATTTTGAGCTCTCTTAGGTTCCAGTCACTGGGATATAGCTATGAACATGTCAGATGAGATAACCTGCTCTCACAGAACTATCTCCTGAGGGAGCCATAATAAGCAAACAAGATAATTGTGAATTGTGACAAGTCCTATCAGGGAAATAGGATGAGAGAGAGAAAATGGGTTGTCTGAGGCAGATATGTAGGTGTACCTCCTTTTATACCAAAGTAGAATGAATTAGAACTAGATTTGAATCCTAGCTGTATGATGTACGTGTTACTTAACCCTTCGGAACCTGTTTCCTTATCGAAAGGAAGATTGTTTTTATCCCGCTTTCAAGGCAAGGCCAGATCTGTAAGGAGGACACTGAGAAGCAGCCTGATAAATCTAGAAGGGTGTGATCCTAAATAAGGCTAAAAGGAGAAACTGGGTGTGTGAATCAAGCAGGTTCACAATTGATGGTAGATGGGCAAATAAGACTGGTGGTGAAGAGACCAAGTGAGCAACCCTAAGGGGTTACATGAAGAGCAGGCAATAAATATCCAGTGGGATAGACTGCTTCTTTATGTGTACTTCATTAATGCTGCTAGGGAAGCGGCTCCTTAAAGATACCACAACAGCCTAAATATAGAAAATAACTCCTAATACTTGTTACAACTGTGGGAATTAAATCATACAACTCCTAGCATCAAAAGCATTTAGTACATGATAGGCCTAAAGTAAACTGTCTGTTACAACCTCCTTTAAAATTCTCTAATTCCCGTTTTTCTACTGTTTTTTGAAAACAAAGAAAAATGTATTGGACTCTTCTGTCCATCATTAACATAATTTTTATTTTGAAATAATTTGTCTTGCAGAAAGATTGCGACATAGTACTAATAACATTTTTTCCAGAACTACTTGAGGAGTTGCTAACATGCTGTCCCATCAGCCTGAATACTTTGCAGAGCTGTCCAATAGAAATATAATGTGAGCCACCTATGTAATTTTACATTTTCTAGTTGTCCATATTAAATAAAATGTGAAATTAATATTTTTTATATTCAAAATATCATTTTAATGTGCCATTCTTTTAAGTGCTTATAGGTACCGATGACTTAGTTGCTACCACACTGGACAGCACAGCTTTAGAGTGTATTTCCTATGAACAAGGACATTTTCCTACAGAACAATACAACCTTGAGAATGAGGAAGTTAACATTGCTACATTACACCTGTCGAATCCACAACCCCTTGTTTTGGCAGTTGTCCTAAAGATGCCCTTTATAGCAAAAAGATCCAGTCCGAGATTGTACATTGCCCATTTATTTTGTATAGTGTGTCTCATTTTGATGTTAACTCATGGCTAGATTCGAGTTGTGTAATTTGGGCAAAAATGTTACAGACATGATTGTTCATTTCATTGCATCCTATTAGGTGGACACAATTCCAATTTGTTCCATTATGGTTGATTTTGATCCCTTGATTAGGTGATGTTTGTCTGGATTCTCCACTGTATAGTTACTTTTTTTCCTTTTGAAGTCAGTATTTTGTGGGAAGTACTTTGAGATTGTGCATATGTATTCCTGAAAAACCTTTCATCTTGCAAAAGCACATTAAAAGTAACAGGGCTTATGGGGGAAATAGGTTTGGTGCAGGCCACTCAAATCTTATGCAACTGTAAACAATTAATAAAAAACAGAAATTGGTACCTCGAGAGCTCATTTGGACCACTTGGATTGCCCTGAGCATGTCTGGAGCTACCAAAGAAATGTTTGAAATGCTCGAAAATAAGAGTAGCCTGGGATCGGAGTCAGGAACTGGAGACCAGGAAGGGATCAAAAGAGGTAAGAGGAAATGTTTGGGGGTGATGGATGTTTATTATCGTAATTGTGGTGACGGCTTCATAGGTGTATGCATGTGTCAGATTTATCAAATTGTATTTATACTTTGTTATTGTGTGTCAATTATAGCTCAATAAAACTATTTTAAAAAATTAGTGTAGATAATGCAGGTAAAATGCTAAGGGTAGGATTGGGAAATAACTGAGGTATACATGACGTAGAGATCTAGCTGAATTGTCCTGTTTAGCTTTTGCTCCTTTTACAAATTATGCATAATAAAGGATTTGCCCAGCAAAAAAAGTAGTTGACGTGCCTAAGGTAAATTTGTCCCATTATTTGATACGTTAATCTATACAATTAAGGCAGTTTTTATTATTGTATGTTGACATTCAGGCGTTTAAGTTTATTTTAGCCTTTGGGAGAAATAGGTTTCCTTGGGTTTACAACTGGGGAATAATTTAAGTGCAGGGACCTAAGGATTCTCCTTAACCTTGCATGAAGTCATGGAAGTTTCTGTACTCTGTAAAGAAACAAATGAGTTAGAGACTGAAAGACATCCCCCATCATTCTGAAAACTTGGATGTTATATTTAATCAATGACGTTGGAAGGGATAGAACATTATAAAATTAGAATTCAGACATGAGAAATGGTACCAATAATTTTAAAGTATTTCATGTCTTGTCATGCTAAAATCATAGAGAATTCAATTAGGCTTTGGAAGGAGCTTAATTTCGAATCTATTTCTTCTAGTTTTCTGTTGGTCTACGTTGCCAACGTTTCATTTGAAATCCTGAGGGTTGTGCTACTAGTTATTACAATTTGTGACCTTGGGCAAATAAGTTAACGAGTCTTGCTGGGCCTCAGCGACCTTCATCTGTAAGAAGTACTTTACCCAGGAATCGCTTCAAATCATTTCCAGTTCTCGTTTACAGAGGCTCTTAGGGGGAAAACGGCATTATATCTTGCACAGGAAGTAAACAGAACCATGTTCAGGGAGAAGAATCCGAAGGTCATTAATATCAAAACAAACCTACTTGGAGCCGATTTATTTACCTGTTTATCTAAATGCCAATCGAGCTCCGTCACCCCTTGGCCCAAGCTGTGGTGCCTCAAGCAGCCATCCCGGGTGTCTGTCACGACCCAATCGCGCCAGCGGCCCCTTTCCTTCTGGAAACCCTCCCAGAAAGATTCGCCCAACACGCTTCAGGGAAACAGGGAGAAAGCCTGTCAGAAGACGCTCAGAAACCCTCTCCTACACCCGGCGGCTCTCTCTCGGAGTATACTTCACCGCCTCCAGACACCAGGAGCCCCCACACAGAAAACGCCCCGGCAGCTGCACTCACGCGCTTTCCGGCACGCCAGAGCCGTAAAAGCTTCGCTTCTCTTCCACTCCGTCCGTCAACCACAAACAGGGTCGGCGCTGGAGGCGGGCAACCTGTCAGGGAAGCGGCGGGGCGCGATCCAAAAAGAACCCAGCGCGTCTGCGCAGACCCGTAAGGTAAGTTCTGCGCCGTTTTTCCAGGCGAAAGTGGGCGGGGCTTGTCGTCCTGACAACCTGGGAGCGTTTTTCCGTACAACTCGGCTCAGGCTTTCCAGACTACTGAGGTCGTGCTTCCCGCAGCATGGTGAGCAGGGAAAGTGGGTAAGCAGGTGAAGGGTCAGGCATTGATTCTCCTTCACCGGTGTTAAATGATGTAATAAGAGCTTGTCTTATTTTAGAGGGGGGCTGGTCGGTTTAGGGAAGAACCCATGGTCCTGTTGGGGGATCGGCTTTCTCCTGATCCGTAGCCTTCCGGTCTAGGATCCGGCGGACAGGTGGAAGTCCCATGCGGTCAGCTGCAGTCCTAATGTCACACTGTTGCTAGGTTTAAAAATTGGTCTCATTAACTTCCAGTAATGATAGACGTCCCGGTTACATTGCTTTTAAATTGCAACTTGCGGAAATGGCTTTCTGCCTCTTCGCAGTTAATTAAAAGCTGTTGCAATTTATGCTGCGTTAAAAAGTTACTTTATGTTGTCTTTGGAGAAATACCGTTTTTTGATTCAAGATACTCAGCCTGCCCTGAATATATTAAGTATGATAAAGCTTATTTCATTTTTGTGCATTGCTCAGCTGTCTTCTTCAAGAACACAGGCCAACATGTATGAGCTATTCTCTTTTCCCTTTTTTCTTAAATGTGATTTCCATCTTTTTCTGTGATTAAAATCAGAGGAAGTGGTTTTAATTATTTAATGCATTAATTACAGGAAAATGTAGAGTTCATCGTTTGTTTGGCACTAGGCTGGACATCAAGGATACAAAGATGAGTAGTACAGCCCCTACCTGCTGTGGGAAAGGGACTAAAATTAATTATAATATAGTTTTATAACTGTAACAATTGAAGTGTCTACAATGTAGTAATAAAGTTGAAAATGATAAAATTGGGGCGACAAGGGTGCTGGAAGGGAAGAGCAGTACTTTCAAGGTGTGTTTTAAAGTATGAGTATGAGTTTATCAGAAGTAGTGGGAAGAAATGGTGGTAAGAATGGAGAACATTTATGTCAGGGAAAACAAAGTAAATGGACTTTAAGTAGACTTGAAACTGCTGATAAATTGAGGGAACAATACACCTATTTATTATTTTTGATGGGAATATAGGTTTTTTCTTTTTGGACCCCTCTAACAATTTTTCGCAAATATTCCTAGAACATTAGCTTCTACTATTCTGGAATACTTGTTAAAATGCAGATTCCAGGAACAGACTGGACTCCACATCTATTGTATTAGTTTCCTAGGGCTGCCAAGTAACAAAGTACCACAGACTAAGTGGCTTAAACAATAGAAACTTATTGTTTCACAGTTCTAGAGGCTAGAAGTCCAAGGTCAAGGTGTTGCCAGGGCTATGCTCCCTCTGCAGGTGCTGGGGAGGGATCTGTTCAGACCTCTCTCCTAGCTTCTGATAGTTCCTTGGCTTGGCTTGTGGCAACATAATTCCAGTCTTCATATGGCGTTCTGCTATGTGCAAGTCTGTGTCCAAATTTCTCCTTTTTATAAGGATGCCAGTCATATTGGATTAGAGGCCTACCCTATCCCAGTATGCTCTCATCTTAATTTAACTAATTACATCAACAACAACTCTAATTCCAAATAAGGTAAAATGCTTAAGTACTAGGCGATAGGACTTCAACAGATGAATTTTGAGGGGACACAGTTCAACCCATAACATCTACTGAATCACAATAGGTAGAGGAAAGTGAGTGCGTACATTTTTAGCCTGGATATATACATTTTCAGCAAGCATCCCAGGTGATTCTTATGCCCTCTGAACTTTGAGCGCTACTAAACTACCTGATGCTCTTATGATTTGTAGGGGGCGAGGATATGTATTTATCCCAAATCTACTTCACATTAAAAGACTAGTGAAAGATGACTATTTGCCCATCTTTAAAATACGGCTACTTGAGAATAGGAGCAATGCTATTTACATAGTCTGCTGTATAGCAGACAAGATGGAAATATGTTAACTATTAATTGATAGCAAATGTGATCATAAGAATAGAGCATAGTTGTAAAAATTATATGAGAGCCAAGTCTCTTCTTTATATCATCTCCAGCATCTTAGAGCACCTCGTGTATAAATCATTAATAAATATCTGCTGAATAAATTAATGAAATATATGCACTTTTCGAGAAGATATAATCTGTTTTGTGTCAATTTTAAGATATTTTATACAGTGATAAATGCTTGAACCAGTAGTTTCTCCTGCGTTAAGTCTTCAGAAGTGAAACATGTATAATCTTATAGTCACATGCTTTCCTACAAAGTCCTTACCAGAAACCTAAAGAACACATGGGCCTATTCAGGAAATTACAAGTAGTATAACTGAAAAATACTTGCAATTGTAAATATTAATTGAAACATTGTGCTTTTCATAATAATTTCCACACATTACACAACAGAATCATTTTATCATAGCTTTACCTGCTTTGAGTAACTGATTCTCTTTCTATAAAAAGGCACTCTAATTTCACAGAAAGATTATTTTTTTATGAGATCATTCCCACACTTTCAAACTTGACATTAATACCAGTACTTAGTCAATGACTTATTGTTCTTTAGAACCCTGTAAACTAGTGCCTTTCTGACTGGTAATTTGTTTAGTGATAAGGCATTTCACATGGATTATTAAATGACTGTCATAAGAAAGAG